TGCCGGAGAGGCCTTCTCCCTGCCGGCCAGCTCCACTGAAAGGCCTGCTGTGTGCCCAGCCCCAGTAAATCTCCCCTGCCAGTGTGCTGAGGCACCAGGGACACCACAACCTGCGCTTCCCGAGTGCAGGACCTGTGTGCACTGCCAGAGGCTGTCAGCGCATTATAAACAACACACAGGAGGCCAGGAACTCAAACCCTACAACACGGCATGAGCTCTCGGCAGCTGGCCTGACGGACTGTAATGAACAATATTTCATTATTAATGGGACATGAGATGGTTTACACTGGTTTGCAAATGGAGACTGCTGCTGGGGTCAAGACCCAGCTCTGTCCTTCCTTCACTGTCCATTAGGAGACATGCGAATGTGAGGTCTAAGTATAAACAGCTGTGCAGCACCAGCACTGGATCAGCCAAAGTGCACTCACAAGCCTGTATTTCTTGACTGGAAGCATCTTCCAAATGCCAAACGAATTTCAACTATGTAATGTCAGGTGTAAATTATATGATTGCATAGTCACACAACTGCCTGAAAATGGTGGAAAATCCCTAGCATCCAGTGAAAAGGCATATTTAACTTCAAATTCTGTTGTCCTGTGATTTATTTCTACTCCAGGAACAAAAACATGTAGGAACTGTACAACATGTCTTGCTATCAAAGAATCAAAATCCGTTGTCCTGTAAAAATGACATCATTGCATGGAACAAAAGTGATATTTGTCATAAATAAGCCCAGGAATCCTGAGGGCCACATAATTGTCATAATTGTGTTTCTTTAATAAAATCCAACAAAATCAAATCTACAAAAAACACTTCTTTCTTTATTAGTGGAGGCCTCTGGAACTATATAGATGGCGCTTATGGTTTTACACATTATTCCACCCATTGCTCGTTTTGTTACAATATGTTTTTTGGGAGTATGAATAAACCTGGAGGGCACTGTACAAAATATAGCCAGTAAGTGCAAGTGCATAACCTTGCTATTAAAAAGGGATTACTACATAATTTATGACGCTGCTGTTTTTAAAAGCCCTATTGTTACCACTTGGACAGGAATCCATTCAAGGCCCTGACACCTGGGGTCAAGCAGAGCCCAAGGGGAGAAGACAGTGTGCAATCACCCCTTGCAGGACTACTAACCCTCCTCCAGACTTAAAGACTGAACACTAAGTCAGGGTGCAGCAGGGGCCAGATTTTATTTAAGTCTTGTTGAACTTGGTCAGGATTCAAAATCCCCCAACACATAACAAACATTTAAAAAGAAAAACAGCCTTGGACTACGAGCGTCTACATGTATTTTTTACAGAGCTGTAAACAAACAGTAAACACAGAAAACAACATCTCAGTGTTGAGTGTATATTAGTATAAGTGCTTATGGAATCTCCTCATTGTTCTTGCTTGGCATAGTACTGTACTGCACCTTATCAATCAATCTTTGTTCACCTGCCTCCATCTCTCCCCACATCTCGGGTTTCCATGGAAACTACCACAGAAGCCATTCAGAGAAAACAGAACCCACTTCGCTGCTTCAGCTCTCTGACACAGAGCTGGCCACACCACAATATAGACTTTTTACAATATTTTTATTAGTTACTGATATACTATGTAAGCATATTTTTTTCAAGTTTCAATAAAAGGAATATTTTAAGACTTTTTTTTCTTTTAATAACGTATTAGAGAAAGCACAGTTATTGCTTAAATTAAACTAGGCACAAACGTGTTCTATGGGTCTACATGCTCAGATTTAATTTTGAAGTTGTTTAAAACAATCTTCAGCTACCACTATCAGTTATATAAATATGTAATTAAATATTAATAATATATTTGGAAACATTATCATATTTTGGTCATTTTTTATTTTATTTTATTATCCATGTGGGTCCTAATGCCTCAGTATAGAGAATTGGACAATATACTGTTATAAGTGGATTTAAAGAAGGTGGCTTCCCTTACATGAATGTATGTACCGACTTCAAACTACCACACATAGTGGTCCAGTGCGAGAGATGCAATATGTTATAATTTCAAAAAATATGCTTATCAGGGTAAATAAAAAGATTAAATGAAGCTACCATTTCAGTAACATCTAATGCAACGCAAGTGCCACCTAGCGATCTGTCTTGAGTTGTGAAGGGCTGAAAGCGATGTTCCAGACAGCACTGCAGTACGCCAAGGAGTGCTTCCTGCGAGAGCGAATTTTGACATGCATTCTAGATGACTGTATCTGTATATTTCAAAAGCACAGTACACACATTTCTACACAGCAACAATTACCAATCAGTGGCTGCAAATGCCCATTCTGTTACAAGAACCCATTCTTAACCTAACAAAGGTAAGGCCAACCCACAATATGCTCAATGAGGAAAAAAAAAGGGTTTCTCTGCAGAATCCACATCATTCTGACTTGATTGGATTAAAATGAAAAGCAATCCCTTATAAATGCATGCAAATGACTGTATAATTGGATAAGCATTACAATCCGTGTTTTATAAAATGCCACTCAGCAGTCAAGAATAGAAAGTGGTTTCAATTACAATAATGAACAGAACAATCCTTTAGCCAAGGGACTGTGGGCAGATATGAGCAAGCAGACATGGAGCCTACTGTGAATCATGTCCCTCTGGTGTCTTTAACATGACAGACAATAACCACAGCTGAGCGTACTGTCCTTGTACCGCAGCAGTGAAGCTCCATATTCTGTCTGCTGCATGCAGCAGTTCTTTTTTCATAAATGTTTCTCCCAAAATGACAAACACATCTTTTTTTTTTTTTTTTTAGTGGGGTGAAGCTGTCAGAAATATAGCTATTCTAATAAGCATGAGTATTTATATAGCACACTCCAGTTCGATAGCAGTTCGAGCTTCAGTCACCAGTGGAGACCAGTTAAATGTGTAATGTTACATTTTAACTGCATGTCAAACGTTAAGTCTAAGCCTGTTGTGAACCCTCTTAAGCAAGGATAAGCAATTTAAGATCTAAAGGATCAGATCCTGTACATTTAACAGGTATCTTTGAACATGCAAAGATTATTAGGAAAAAACTTTTGAATCAAATTCTTATCCAACTAATTAATTAAGTACGAAAGACGTGTGAAAACCACATGATCCTGTGGAATGGAATTTACCTTTACTTGCTCTGCAATGTCTTAACTGCTTTTACACACCAATAATATCAAAACAAGACAGAGTTCAAGGTGAAGTGAAAAAGGCTTTCAATTGAACGTTCTGTAAAACCAAGTAAATCTCTGTGAATTATTACTGATTTTAATAATAATCCCTTACATTTATAGAGCAATTTGCATCCCATAGGATCCTAAAGTATTTTACTTACAGGTGGATATGTAATTTATTTTCTTCTGAATGATGTGCAGCAGTCATTGTGTACCAACAGCCCAACTAGACACCAGATAAAGAAGTAAGCAATCCATTCACCAGTTGAATAAAGGCAGAACATTAGGTAGGCCATATTTTAACATCAGAGTGGAAACCAGGTCACCAGGATTAACACTATTCTTTGGTCTCATGACAGCTGCACCATATGAGCAATGGACATGAAACATGAGCGGTTGGTCAGTATAAACCACATGGCAAATGTATGCCTCTTGATTAAGACATGACATTTCTTACAAAATCATTACAATTTAGTCAAAATCCATCTTTATTTTTTAGTGCACTATTATGCAAGTTAACAAATAAATGTGATTAATTAAACACATTTGCATCTTTAGTCTTGACAATACTTGGGGCAATTCTCACATTTTCAACACAGTGTGCATCTAGAGTAGTATTAATCAAATCGGAGATAAGAAACAATAGACAGACCAGCAGACTGAATCTTCTGTTATCTGCAAACAGTGCACTTCAGTCTTCAGAAAAAAAAGTCTGCTTATGCAAAGTAAGCTTTCCCCTTGAAATTCAGAGACACGCGTGATCTGTTTCAGTTTGGCATTAAATATGCAGAGCTACCACATAAAAGAAAAAGAAGAGCTAAGCGTCTCTTTCCCCAGTGCATTGTGCTTCAACAAGAAGCTCTAATTATGGAGAAAAGAAATAAAGTCAGCAATGTTTTTTTTAATATTCTAAATAAAGGCAAAACCATTCTGAAAAGAAAAACTGAAAAAAAAAATCTGTCAGCCAATGCAAAACCAGCTGGAGAGAGAGACAGTACAGAACCTCTCAGGGGATCTGGAAGGATTGGAGGAGTCTGAGACTGTAAGCAAACTTTGTAAAAAACGTGACATCTCTGACATACCATATCTAGACGTTCATTTTTTATCAGTTTCAAGAGCTTTTTTTGTTTCTTTGGTTTTTAATTAAATTTCATTCAAGAAAGTGAGGAACATCACCTTCTTCAGCTTGAGCATACATAGCCACGCGCTATCGGAACAATTGTATAAAATCAGACAAAGCAGAGTTAACTCTGTAAGAAGCATTTGTGCTTACTGTCGTGATTGCTATTTTTGTTAATCAATAACAATGCCAAGTTGCATTTCCAGTGAAAGCATGCATTCCTATTGAAAGTTGGAAAAAAACTAGTATAACATGACAGAGCAGTAACAGAGTTTATCAAATATACACACAATAAAACCTTTAAAAAAACATTCCTTGTTGCCTGTGGCTCAATTTACTATTGACATTTTGAACCAGATGACAAGACAGCGCACAGATTTATTTGATTTCTAGTACTCTGGGACTGGGGATGTTTTATTCTTCTCTACATTTAAAAATTCACTGTTCCAGAGCATTATAGCAAATGACCTTCAGACCATGGAAGATCCTGGCACTCTTTTCTCAGTGTTTTGACAAATGGCTCTTTTCATATTATGAAACTTATCTGCAGATATTGCCAGACTAACAGATTAAGCAAGACAGGTCATCATTGTTAGATTTGGTGAGTGGTTACTAACTTTTCAAGCTCAGGATGATACAACCAAATATGGGACATTACAGACTGATTGCAAGATCAATAAAAACACTGTTTTACAATGAGAACAAACTCACCAAGATCTTTGCCAAGATGCCGTCATCACTGGATTCCAAGGTAACCACAGCCTTGTCGGTCTCGATCTCACAGAGTGCGTCTCCAGCTTGTACCACCTCCCCTGCAAAGATCGACAGACAGCACCTAGATCACAAGATCTAGATCAAGATCACACAATACATCAGACATTCACAGTAAATTCCACCGAGGTCACGCAGCTCGAAGGTAGTGCTGATGAAGCACTCTAAGTGGCTCAGTAAAGGAATGCCATTTGTTTGGAGTTCAGTTCAGAGATCAACGGTTCAAACCTCGATCATTGTGCCACAACTGCAGCCAATCACAACCCCCAAAATCCCCTCTGTGAATTCACTCATGATGTGGTGGCTAAAACTGTCTAGTCTGCGTATTATCTACAACGTTCTGTAAAATCGAAAGATAATAAATCTTTTCTGTTAATTAAAAAAAAAGTTTCTATGCACAGTAATGCTATCTTAGATGACTGACTACATTAAATTGGAATATTAGTGAAGTGACAACAGGGCTCATTGTTTACACTGCCAGCACAACCTGTCCAGATTATTTATACATAAACAAACTGCAAGATTTTAATAAAATATAGTAAATAGAAAAACACAAGTAAGACCTTGTGCCACGAGAAGCACAAGCAGGGTGTGCATTATATCCTTCCTTCCAAGCTGTGGCTGTTTGGTTCATTCTGCAGACTGACAGAATCATATCTGGCCTAATCACCCTGATGATGAAACTCATCATTAACAAGTTCAGTTTAAGTTGACTACACCTGACAGAACCACGGGAACGCCTGCAACCAGCCCCCATTAGCCTGTGTGGATTGGTATAAAACCCGCCAGGCCTGTGAATGAGAAAAAGAGAGATGGCCGGCTCTGTGCCCGAGTCAGCGGTGCCAACGCACTGAACCGCAGCTCAGCGAGAGTTAACGAGAGGTAAGACTGTCACAGTGAAGGTGGTGGATTCAGATCCGTTTCTGAATCCTGCCAAGAAGTGCACGCTGAAAAACAAATTAGAAGCATTCCTTTAATAATTTCAATAGCATGTAGAGGTGTATTCCATTATAATGTATTCTTTCCAATCCCGCGGGATGGTTATTTTAAAGCTTCTACTGTTTTAAGCCCTCAGTCTGGACTCCACGAGTGCTGGGGCTACTCGCAGTAAGAGGCTTGAATGGCAAGTGCCTGGGAGAAACATGACTGAGAACTCCTCCAGATCCCAAAAGTGCTTCCGCCACATGCCTGTAATAGGCAAGTAAAAATAAAACACCCACACTGCAGGAAAGGAAGAGATCACTAAGCACACATCTCTCTCTGTGCCAGAGAATGCCACACAAAGCCAGTCTTATTCACTAGAGAAACCGAGGAAACAAAAAGGCTTAAACGTGTAGTAGAGAGGAAATCCTGGGGGAAAATATCAATAGCAGCAAATTTAATCAAGATATAACATTGTGTAAGGCTTCCATCTGTCAAGTCCAAAGATATGACCTGGTATCCTACAAACTAATGGTGATGTGCATTAAGTTCTTTTTAATGGAGAATTCATGCTAGGGGCCCTGGGTTCAATTCCAGTACTGCGGCGGAACAACACAGTGTACATTTTGACCATGAAAACTATGATTTGTTTTAGATAAAATTAATTTTATAAGATTTTGTCTGTGATAAATCTAATTAATTTATTCTTTAAATCCATACTCTCTTCGGCTGGGAGATTACACTCCGTAAGTCACATCACACACAATCCAGAGATGACTTCAAGGAAACTAGGTTCTCATTTTTCCTTGTTCTCCCCAGTCTCTTGAACGTCTCTTCTCCCCCATGCACAGTGAGAAATCAAAGTTTGGGGAAAATTAATTCTTCAAAAGGAGGAGTAGAAGTGGAGTTCGATGGCTTAACTGACCTTATTAACAATTCAAGCTGGTGAACAGGTACTCATCTAACTTAGTTTGGTTTCTAAAACAAAAGCAAGAACAAAAACTATACAAGACTAGGACTTGCTTGCACGAGATATGAAACAATCATATAGCGTTTCACAAACAACAGCGCCCTCTTCTGCTGCTTTTAAGCTCAAAAGAAACAGCTTGACTGCAATTCCCTGGGTCAGTGCTCCTACTTTCAAAAGACACGTTTTGAAAGAGCTTTGCACTCCTAAAAGAAAATCAAGTTTCCAAGTAGAGTAGTGCAAGAAAAAAAATTGCTTTCAGCAGCTGAATAGTCTTATTTTCTCGTCTATTAATAGAGAATTTACATCCAGAACTGCACCAGAAACACAAAGAATTAGAAAAACAACGTTCAACAGAACGCATGAAATACTGTCATGTCTGGTATATGTCATATAACTGTCATACATCAGATGTATACATAAGACATACAACTGATATACATCTGACATACATTTATTATGTGTCATAGCAGCATTAAGGAGACCTTCTGTGATTATTGAAAAGCCACAGAGTGTTGCAATGACCACTCACACCAACTGAACCAATACCCTTCTTTAAACTGGAGGTATGAATAGGCAGACGTGTAAAAAGATGCTCCAATACAGTAATATTACAAACTTAGAGGTGAATGGCCATCATAATTCTAACTCGGATGACAAAAGCAGCTCCTCTTTTACAAGCCACACCTCCTGTACTTGGTGCCTTCACTCTGAAAAAACAGAAGCTTGCAAGTAACTTACACCCGAAGAAACCAAGTATAAATTTAGAAAATAGACTGTATTCTTTTTTTTTTTTGTAGGTGTATTGATTTAAATTTTGAAGAAACTCTCTTAGCAAAATAAACATTAAAATTGTTGTTTTCGGATGAATTTATTGTTTACAGGGGAAAAAGAGTCTCTCTGTCTCTGGTTAAGAGTAATGGTTCCCAACACTAATGCTGGAGGAACAATGTCTGCCCAAGCCGAGATCTGAATCTCCATTGCCAAATGATTATTTTATTTTTTATTTTGAATTTAGGTCTTTTAGACGCCCAATCTGTTTATCACAGAAATACGTGGGTGGCTGAGAATGTGGTTCTTTAAAAGGCTGGGGCTAAGCACTTGTGATTATTGTAACTATTTTGCTTACCAATCACCCTTCTTCATTAGGGTTCGTAAACAGACGTTTGTGTCACACACATACACACACTTTACTAGAGTGTTGTTTACTTATTTTACTTTCAGAAATTTACTTGCCAGGTATATTCATGCACTGATTTGTAACTTTAACTTTACGTTATGTTAATTATTTAAACACCTATTACAATTGACTCCAGAGCTTCACTATTCTGGTTGAGCCAGCCCCAGTTCGTATAAAATACTGTGACTGTCCACAGAGAGGCAGCACTCGAGTATTGAAACAGTAGAAGGTGTTTGTCAGTCCCAATAGTTCTGTTAAGCAATGATGAAAAGAGTGATATGAAGGTCATCCCTAGTGCTGAACAGCTAAAATATTAATGATTATTGACTGTCCACATATTTCCCTGGGGCAGACAAAAGAAAAAAAAAGCACTAAGTTTAAAAAACAAAGCCAATAAACACTTCTCAAATGTAATAAAGTGCAGCTGCTTAATCTCCCCCTCAAAAAAAATAATTTAGAATTATGAGAAGACCACCATCCAAATGTCATCCATAAGAACCCTATTACATTGGTGTGTGAAACTAAAAACCAAACAGGGCCCTCTGTCTTCTGCACTTGTTTCCTGTCAGACTAGCTTTAAAGCTGCAAGCCTTCATCACTAAGCCATCTTATCTAACACACCAATATTAACAACCAAAAAGTTCTTAGTCTTAAAAAGTACCACAGAAAAAATGTCACTCTGTTGAAGTATTTATAGGTTGTGAAGTAAGAAATTAAAATAAGGTGACATTTCCCTTGTGTTCAATTATATAAATAAATAAAGCAGCCACACTTTAACCAGTGTATCTGTAAGAGAAAGGATTTACATTGAGGTCCTCTTTTGCTTTGCACTACACAGCCAAGCCTCTGGTTTCACATTTTACAGACTTGTCAGTCATGCTTTATGGTTAAGTGAAAATTTAAAAATCTCCCTGCACCAGGTCACACCAGCCTACGACAGAATTCAGCACTAAAGCCGCTTGCTCTCAGCTGCTCTGGCTAGCTTTAAACCAGTTCACAAGCAAATTCACATTAACATTCCTGCCGATGTCTTTCGGTGGTCATGCTTAAACGCAGCTCTGGAAGGGTGGGACACAAGAGATATGATGAAAAACACGGAAGAATCAGATTTTACTTTACCTTTCAATTTTGCTGAATATTCCTAATTATCTTTAGCTATAGTTATAAAGAATTTAGATTTTGTATATTACTTCCTACAAAAAAAAATGTAACCACTCCCTAAACTGCATGTTATCTTGTATAAAGAATGGTAGAATGTGAACAATGCTGTCTGAAACAAATCGGCAAGGCTGTATGAACTGGATGATGTCTCATCACTGAGATTATCAGCTGCTATGGTATAGATTGACTACCACTGCATTTCACTCCAAACAATGACTTTGCTCTAAGGTAATTACAAAGGCTGGGATGGTCAGTTTTGGGTTTCATCCTTTAAGCATGAATTCTCCAGCACACATTATTACACTGACATTTTATTGAACAAACATGGCATGGGCAAGTTCACTACACCGTTAACCTGTTATCAAAGGAGGGTCTACTGTGAAAATAACGGTCTGGTACCATGTCTGGCCACCATTAGAAGCAATACAATCTATACATCCATGACACATGTTATGCATCAGGGTACAGATTCGGTCTAACCCGTCCTATTTCTCTCTCATAATGCCTCTTCACTAGTCTCTATGCTAGCTGCTAGATAATCTTCACAGCTCATCTTTCAAATGTTTAACAGGGCTCCAGTCTGCACATTCAGGCAGCCACAGCATTCTTACAAAATTCTCTTCTCGCAAGAAAGCCACTGTCAAGAAGCAGCAGATGCACACATGCGAGTTATCCTACTGGAATGCTGTCATGTCAGTATGAGACCACATCCTTCACCCGGGAGAGTGAGGGCCCTGTCTGACTGCACAGTGCTACAAGTGGAGCTCCAACAACTAAATGGTACCAGACCTTTCCACATGGGCCTCCCCACCAATCCTGACAAGGTACGACGACTTCGTGGTCTCCCAGATCACAGCCTATTATTGATGGACCGCATCGGGCCATAACATCTGTGGCAGTGCACTGCCATAGTCCAGCTCCCCACAGATGGATGAACATAGGGGTTTATAGAATCCTTTCTGTGTGTTTTTCTTTTTTTCGAATATCACTCCACATTTTTAATAAGCTCAACCGCCAGCAGGATGAACTTGTGAAATAAAGAAGGAAGACCACAGGTGGACTGTGTTGTAGGACAAAACACTCCAAACGTATTGTTTTGCAGCAGAAGCACTCCTTTATTTCCTTTTGTTATGACACAGCTGCAGCAGACAGGACCTCTCTCACCTTCGCTCTTCAGCCACTTGACGATGTTGCCCTCCTCCATGGTGGGGGAAAGAGCTGGCATCATCACTTTGACTGGGGCCACTCCTGAAGGACAGAAGGAAACACACCGACTCTTACAAGCAGCAGCAGCCACAGAGATGGGTGGAGGAGGAGGGTTACCAATAAAGAAATTAATTCTCACACTTTATGAATCGTACAAAAACTTTACGGGACTATGTATAACCCAATTTATGTGACCCAAACAAATGTAATGTTTAAGGTTAAAAAAAAATCCTGGAGCAAAAAGTCCAGGTCTAGAAAAAACAGCCTTAATGGTACTGGACAAAAAAAAAAAAAGAAAAAAGAAAGAGAGCACTGTACAAAAAGTTGACTGGATGATTCTAAAGTGGGAAACCACACATGAAGGGATGTTCCTGCAGATTTTTTGATGACCCCAAACCACACAGTATAAAGCATTTAATTTAAAAGAAGATTATGGTTAAGGTTTGTAAAGCATTTGTAACACATGAGTTTGAATATTGTGCTTAGTTTTGCACACTATTCCACAAAAAGGATATCACAGCCATGGAAAGAGTTCAGACAACCAAGACAAACAAGAGTCCTTACCTCAAGAGGTACTGGTTTATCCAGACAGATTAAAAGAGCAGCATGTCTTTGCTTTTAACACAACAGAGCAAGAGGAGATGTATTACATGTGTATAAAACTGTAATGGGTACAATATACAGGAAACATAGTTAACCCAGGGGACTACTTCACCAAAAATGAATACAGGATCACAACTGGAAAGTAGCAGGGAATTAATTTAAGGTAGACTACAAAAATAACAGAATCCTTCTTGACAAAAAGAGTTGTGGATTTCTGCTCTCCCAACCAAGTAGCTGAGGTCCCAAACTACTTCAAGAAAAACAAAATAGACGATAGACTGGAATGGTCTAAGAACACTCAGGGTATCTAGATGAAGGGTCAGAGCCAACTTTACTTCTTGAGGAGGCTCAGTACAAAAAGTAAACCGTGATTAAAAAACAATTGCAAAGAGACTTTGCTGCCCCCTGCAGCCCCTTTGAAGAATCACAACAAAATGGAATTATTGTTCATTACTATTGCAATGAACGAATTAGCACTTCTTTTAAAATGCTTTCCACCCAATTGTTCTGATTGCTTTTTGTTAATGAGTTCTACAATACTTTTTAAAACCTACTAAATACTAAATCGTCAATGACACCATATCCTAATAGTACATGATGCTTTATATCTAGCAAGTTAGACCGGTATAATGCATGGTTATAAGGAGAAAACAAACTGCATTAGAGAGATAGCCATGCAAAATTAAAACATGTAGCACTGATGAAGGCAACATGAAGGCCATGCAAAGGAACAGTAACCAAAGCATTAACAAGAAAGGGACAGCCAACCCCAGTTGTACTAATCGACGCTGTGTGATGCAGGGCCTGAAGCAGAACATCATACAAAGGACTGCTATGCTCTAAGGGGGCAGACAAGCATGCCTTGAATGTTCTCTTTTTTTTCCTGCAGAATTTAAAGACTAATCACAAAGTAGTAACAATATGACACAAATCATGTATGAAAAATGATAGGAGTTCATAATCACTTGGTAAGGATTACTCTTTCATCTTCTCACTACCTGGAAAGATATAATGAATGAAATAACATGATGTATACTGCAGCTGACTGTTCTCACCGACACTTATTATTGATGGCCGATTTTCAAAGTCTTGGCTTTCCATTGGATGGAAGTCAGAATCATGACTAGAACACTCAATAGCACTCACTTTCTGTTGTTCCACTTGAATGTAGCTTTGGACTCATTTTGTGCGTCACTGCTCTGATGAAAAGCGAGTTTTCATCCCAGTTTTAGGTTGGCTACTATTCTATCACATAACCTTCATATTGCCTTTGTCTCCCTTTAGCAGACAGAAGACTTTTTTTTCTCCTTTAGACAAGCAGCACCATAACATAATGAAAGGTAGAAATAGTGTTGAGTGGACTATGCAGTTTAATATAGTTTTGTTCATATACTCAATTTTACAAAGTTTATGTAATAGAAACATGCAGGGATCAGCAACAAGGTGGTGAGGTTGCCGTTAACTAATGCTACAGCAAACATGCTGATTACCCCCAGCCTATTCCAACCCTGAAACATAATTTCAACATAAATCAACAACAAGATATAACATAATACACATAAAATACATATTGTGAAGTAGTCCAGCTGTATAGCTGCGTTAGCATGCGTAGGCTGCAAAGGAACAAGAAAAGGTTTATTCCCGAGAACACAACGTTTCGGCTATGGAGCCTTCTTCGGGTGTGGACGGTGGAGGAAGGGTGTGCCACCGGAAGAAGGCTCAACACCCGAAACGTTGTGTTCCCATTCTTCTCTTTTCAGCAGGAATAAACCTATTGCTTGATCTAATGCACTATATAAAGAAATGCAATGTTATGTTTATGAATTAAAATCTAAACTCCTAATGTGTACAGTAACTTGAGATGATCAACGTTAAATGTCCCCGTCTGTTGTCTATTTCTGGCTTGTACGTGTACTACAATTTAGAAGGGGAACCGTGCGTGCTAGTCTTAACGCTTTAAAAACTTTAAAACAGCGTAAAAATAAAATACAGCAGTACAAGTAGCACACAACCTTCCATTATAACCCAGCCAGCGATGTGTGTTTTGGTTTTTATCATGTGACACGCCAACACTTACCAAACATTGGTGAGGACTGAAAAAAGTGCCGATAATATCCATCCTGAGTTTGGGTTAAGCTGGTGCATTTCTTCAGTTTTATTAACCTCAAACCACTCAATATCCCCCGATGTCCCAGCCGCAAGGAGGCCGCCATATTTGTGTCCTCGGAAATTACCAGTTACCCTACTGCCTTTCAAAGTTTTGGGTTTCTGAGTGCAGAAATGAATGGATACGTTTTTTACTGCATGTTTCACGTTAGTGCTGTTTAACGAAAATATGACATTTTCCCACTTATTTTAAATAAAACAATTTAAATTTAGGCAGGATAACTAACTACAAAAACAAACGACAATTGTGATAGAAGGACCCCATCCATGAGAAGAGGTCCTTCGCGCTTCTTGTCGCTTCCTTTATACGCAAAGCCTGCAGATCTGCGCAGATCTCACTGCACTCGGCGGTCGGGCAGGCAAGAGCAGAGCTGCATGCAAATTTCGACTGCTAAGCCAGAAAAGTCTGCAAACTCCGCACTGTTGCATATGCGCAGGCAAAGCCCAGCCCTTCCAGTTTAATTCAGTGTAGGTGTGTTATACAGCTCCCTCCTTAAAACATTATCAGTTGGTACCCAAACACCCAAGCTACTAAAAAAAGTAGGAGGAAGTAGGATATTAACCCTTGCTGGATTCTTCTTGTGAGGACCAGAGTTGTGCACCTGTGTTCATTTTGCCCTTGAGTTGTAGTTGATGTAATCTCCACCTCAAGCCAGGGGTTTTCTTGTGAAAATGTGTCCCCTGGACACAGGAATGCGGCATGTCACACTGTAACATGTGGATTTCACAATGTAGAGTAAATAAAGCAGGTTGGGATGATACCTTTTCACATCCACATCCTGCTTACCTCATCTTTTGCTGAATAGGTGGTCACCTGCTCCATCTCTTATTGTGTTGGATGAGAAGGGTTTGTAGCAGGAGGAGTTCCTGCAATGTTGTGCCTGCTTCTCTGCTGTATTTTGACAACCTTTGTTTCACAAAAATACATTGTGAGGGGGGAAGAACAACAGTCTGGAGGCACACCTAAGGTAATTTAACACTTCTGACAGTAATTACAAGTGCAGTGTCAGTATATCTCTGGTGTCAGTTTACCTCTCTGGTACACAGAACCCCAGTTCCTTTAGCCTTTATAGGTTAAATCATTAGCATCTTAGGAACACTCATTTGTTTCTCAATTAAGCAAAAATAAATGTTCAGTTAGTTTAATTCTGGTACTTGTGGGCTGGATAATATTCAGATTTTCAGAGCTGCAGATGATCCAGCAAGCTGTGCCTCACGATGATACCAGCAACATGCGCATCTTGTCTTCCAGAGTTACCGAGTTTACTGACCTGGGCTGCGCAGTGACGTCACATACGACGTCACATGAAGCGGACCTGTGCAGATCTGTGCAGACGCTGCGCAGACTTGTGCAGCAGGGAGCAGCAGGGAGCAGCAGCCATCGAAAACCAACATAGTGGCTGTTCTGTTTAGACTTTCTGTGCCTCAAAAACGTGAGGGGTGGGTGGCGAGCGGTTTTCGTTTTCATCGTCCTGTTCTTTCAGGCGTTCTTGTGACCAAGTACACGGTCAAGGAACGAAAGCAAGTTTAGGCCTTAATTTAGGCATTAATTTTTATTTGCCGAAGAGTATTGCTAAAAATGTCTTCAGCGGTCTATAATCGCGACTGCTCTAAATGTGCCCAATCTATTGAGGTAAGTTTATCCAAAGTTGCTTTCTCAGAAATATAAAATGTGTTTACGTTACGTAACAATATTGAAGTTTTCCCCCCCTTTAAATCCGGACAACGCGAATGTCGATGATATAAACGTCGTTTACGCTGCCATGTGGTCAGCCTGCTTTTAGAAACTTTCAAGCAACAGACGCACATAATGCAATGTGCTAATTGTCCCTTTTAGCGTTTATTCTGTGGTATTGCCGCTGAATTATTATGACGTTCCACAATTAAATAATCACTCACGTGACAGATACCTTCGACATGTATTTTATTTGCGAGTTGTGGCCTTGCACAATTAAGAAATGAGCAGTATATTGCAACAAAAACAGCACAGATGTTGAGCTGCTCTGCACCGGATGGTGGTCAAGAATACTCCCTAGTGCCCTACTCCTTGAACTGACTGGACAGTAATGGAATTTGCTTGAGACAGAATGAGTTTGCCTTTTGTTTTAGTGAATATTTTGCCATTCCAGGACAAGGACAACCCAAGGTTGCTGATTCCTGAGCTCTGCAAACTCTTCTACCAGTTAGGCTGGGTGACAGGAACAGGAGGGGGTATCAGTCTCAGGCAGGGGTGAGTATGCCAAGCCTGAAGCTTAGAAATCTGGTGTGGTCATCCAGTGTGCAGCACCAATTCAGAGAACAAATGCCATTTCATAGCAAGAGTATGAAGTGAAGACAATCTTCATTCAGTTGTGCCCATTCAGGTTTGGGAAGGTGTGAGAGGCCGGTGACTCCAGACAAAATGTCTTCAAGGTGTAACTCGCCTTGCCATCTGGGGACAGAGCGCAGATCCTCCACTGTGCGTGCTGCGCTAGAGGGCGTGAGGAAAGGAAGCCAGAGGCTGACCCTGTCAAGCCTCAGCCCTTTTAAATTCTCACCTGACCACTTGTCCTTGCAAACCGAATCTCCATTTTGTCTGGAGTCACTGCCCTCTTACAGGAGACTACCGTCTACTCTCTCAGCTGTGAGCCTAAATAGTAAGTCAACAGTGTGCTAAATCTACTGAGGCTGAAGCAGTAGAAGCATGTGCACTACAATGCATCTATATCACAAATGTATAAAGAGGTTGTCAAGAGGTAAACAGGATAACAGTGTTATAGGAACAAGTAATAGGTTTATTCCATGTTGAAAAGAAAAGAAAAAAAAACACGTTTTGGCCGTGGAGCCTTCTTCAGGTGTGAATGTGTGTAACAGGGATATTTCATCAAGATAAAATCCCTCCTGTAAGTTACTTTAAAATGTGTCTGATTTATACTGGTATGTTTTTTTTTTGAGGTGAAGACAGTCCTTTGTCATGTTCATGTGTTAGATTAAAAAAAGAGTGTCCAGGTGATATAGATTACATTCTTTATTGTGGAGAAGACAGGTGTAACTTCTCATTGGATAAAGGCAGTAACTGTCTTGTTCAGTTAAAATAAAGCAAGTAGTTCTTGTTACTTCACTTAGAAGCAAATGCTTAATGAGATTGTGTTCTGACTGTATCTCTCTGGCCTACCCTTTCAGAGATCACATCTACATTGCCCCCTCAGGAGTGCAGAAGGAAAGGATTCAGGTCAGTAAAGATCTCTGAGGAACTGCCTGGGACCTGTAACTGAATACCTTTTGAGTTTAATGCCTTTTTTCTCCCCTTGACATTAGGTGTCTGGTTAATGTATCTTATCTCAGGTATCTAGTCGGATAATATTTTTTTAGCTTTCATATAAGTCAGATATATCCTAGTACAATTTTAAATACAAAAAAAACAATTTTACCAATAAAATACCCAGATTGTTCAGAGTACGGAGCTGTGTTGGCATGTGAGCTTCAAATTAAAAGTTAAAGGTTATTTCTAAACTAAAAAGTAAAATAAGGACATATTTGTGGTGTATTAAGGAGAAAGTGTGTTGGATAGCAGAATGCTGTATCTTCTATGCTGTCTTTCTCCAAGCATGGAAGCAGTAGATTAATGCTAAGATCTCCTAATCTCTAGAGTGCTAGCAATCAACTACTGCACTTTCTGCATCACTTTGCAAACTTCCTTCCACCACAAATTAAGTGTTAATGTATCTTCCACCCATTTCCAGAACATAAACTTTAGTGTCAGCTACCCAGGACAAAAAAAAAACGTCTGTGTGTTACAACCCATGATAACTAATTCACTCAGTTATCTTCTTTTACAGCTCTTTCATGCGTGACACACAAGCTGAATTAGAATTAGTGTCTTTAATTAGAAAGGAAAATAGCAGTAAATTGTCAAAATACAAAACAAAACCTAACTGCTTTAGAGCCCTAACAAAGCTCTTCTCAAGTTTGTCGCTGAGCACAAAGTTTGGCAGAAGTACTGTTTACTAGCACCATCATATGTCTATATACTTTATTAATCATTGTCCTACTTGTCATGTGTAGATTCTGCTCTCAGGCGTTGAAAGCCTTTACTTCCTTGTTTTAGGTCATCACTTGGCAAATTGTCTTCCTTCTACTAGTAAGGTGATAAAAGGCAGCAGGTTATTCCCCACGTCATTCTGTAATTAAGCTGTATTTATCTTAATTATGTTAGCAATTAAATCTGATTAATTTAAGAAATATTGGCAGTATGGCCTCTGCAGGCATTGGGGGCCACACCTTGAAGCCACCCAAAAGAAGAATCCATGCTCCTAAGGCAGCTCAAGGAGTGCGAGGGGCTATTGGCCAGCCGACATCAGCCGCTCAGTGATATGTTGCTATGTATACTTATTAGGTTTCAAATGTTTCAAACTGGGTAACTGCCTTTCTAATGAAGGCTGTTGCTTTGAATCAGTCGCATAAAAATCAGATATTTACTGTAGGGTCTTTAGGAGGTGCCGGGGAGCAATTAGAGAAGGTATAGCCACAATGTTTCTGGATAGCAGGCTCCAGAGCGGGGGTGACAAGGGAGGAAGGATGAGAGGGACAATAAGACAAAGAGGGGGACTAGGCGACAGATAGGCTAAGTCTTGGAAGGGAACAGGGAACAGCAGAATCAACAAGGTCATCAATCAGTTCTGCACTGCAGTGTGGTAGAATGCTAAGTGAAAAGGTGCAGTTGGAGAGGGTGGGTTGCTGTTACAGGCAGGCGAGCTAGGAGCTTGATTAAAAACTCTTAAAAACCTGAAAAACCACCACCGCTAAAAGGAGCTTTTTGTTTGGTTTGCATCTGTACCTTGCAATGGGTGAATTTTCTACACATAATTGCAGGTTTTTCTTATCAGAAGCACACCATAGCCTGCTAAAAGAGGAGCACAGATTTCAAACTTTGTGGACAGAGGAAGGAATGAGCAAACAGCCCATCAGAGATTGCTGATGGGTGTGTGTGTGTTTGCCCTCCAGCCTGAGGACATGTTCGTGTGCGACATGGAGGAGAGGGACATTAGCTGCCCCCCTCCCACGAAGAGCCTGAAGAAGAGCCAGTGCACCCCTCTCTTCATGAACGCCTACACCATGAGAGGTAGGGTGCAGCTCCATCAGAAAAGTATTTTTAAAAAATATTTTCATATTTTCACCATTGAACGCTTTCAGGGTGTCACATGGTTCATAGGGATGTATAGAGGGAGCCAGATTGAACAAGTACAGGTGGTCACCAATTTATGTAGATGGTGACTTTTGTATACTCGTACTTATAATAACAACCTCTTTAACAAAGACTAAATCACTAAATGAAAAAAATAGTGGTGAAAATCTAAGATAAGATCACTTTATTAGCCATATGCAATTTGTCTTTGCATACCCCAGCTTGCTCTCCATGAGACACCCAAGCACACAGACAGGTAGAGAAGCTTGGGGTCAGAGCGCTGGGTCAACCATTTATACAGCACCCCCTGGAGCAGCTGGGGTTAAGGGCCTCGCTCAGGGGCCCAACGGAGAAGAATTCCTCTGCTGGCCACGGGAGTTGAACCGGCAACCTTCCAGCTACAGGTGCAGATCCTTAGCCACAGTGCCACCACTCCGGTGGGAATATGCAAAACATTCACAAAATTAACAAGGGTGTGACTGTTGTTCCACAGAACTGTATACCGGTGTACATCTGCTGGGCCACAGGGTTTGGCTGTGCAAATGCTTTTCAGTCCGCTTTATTAAATATTTTTCTTTTGATTATTGCTTCTCTTCCCTACAGCTCCCAACAGTTCTTCACATGATAATAAGGGTATTTTAGTTGCTATGTTTTTCTTTCTTCATTTTCACCAGACTTTAAACAGATTAAATCGCCTCATTCCAGTGGCCAATCAAACCTATCACTAATGAGGTGGTTTAGTGCTTCTACAATAAAGATCCTGGTGACTATGACAGCTAGGAATGACTTTGATATTACAAAATCAAAATGATGCTGAAAACACTTAATCATTTTTCAAAATCTATATACGTAATTCTTCTGAATATGACCATGCACAGTGATAAGTTTATTCATGTTCAGCACGCCTATTTTTTCTTGAATTGTTTTTTCCTCACTTTCATCTCCTTAAATGTGTTCAGTACAGAAGTACAAAAAATCTGTTTTTGTTCAAAGTTCTTTCAGGGTCAACTGTCCTACTGTATGGAAATTGATAAAAATTAGACGCCAGTAGTTCTTATAGGCACCCGATATGTTAGAAATGACAAATCTCTGACCCAGATGTGCAGACCCAGGTGGCCATACACTTTAGGTGAGTGTTTATGCATGTATTCAGAAACCCATGTTGCTTTAGTTTTTATTTCCACTTCTATTTAATTCCTCTTGCTTATATGGATATATTCCTCTGCGTCACGTGCCTTCCCTCCCCAACCAGGGGCAGGGGCGGTGATCCACACCCACTCCAAGGCAGCAGTGATGGCAACATTGCTGTTCCCTGGGAAGGAGTTCCGGATCACCCACCAGGAAATGATCAAGGGCATCCGGAAAGGTTCCTCGGGAACCAACTACAGGTACAGCTGCACGACCAGCTTGCAGATACGTCAGCCAGTAATCAAACCACTTTCTTGCAAAGCACGTCCCCTCCAGGAACATAAACTGAAAGCTAAAAGGCAATGAGCTGGGGAAGTGTGAACTGATGGCGTATGTAATGGGGTCTCTTTCTTGCTAAATGCTAGATCCCATGCGTGCATAGTTCTTAGTTTAGTGTTCTTTGTAGAGATTTTTTTTTTATAGGACATTCTGTTGCCACACAGACTATGGGAATTCTTTCCCCAAATCCCCTTCAAGTTCACAGTGTCGGTGTGATTTTGAGTCAGTTTTGATTAAATACTTCAGAATCACCAATAATGTTTTGTTGTGCTCATCTGCCAACCCCATGAACCCCCAAGTGACAAGTATGCAGACACATCCAGCTATGAGCCACTCATCTTTTTTTACATTAGGGATCACGAGTTATTTTTTGTTATACCCACACAATACAATACTAACTGTATTGGCCAATTTTTCAGTATCTTCACCGATGAAAATGGTAATTGAGTATCTATTGATATTGATATTTTGTATTTAATTCTTTTGTTCAAGCCCTGCGGTTGCACAGTATAGTTTGGCTGGGTTTAGCAGAACACATAATAGCTCATTAAATGCACCATGTTCTTTGTTTTCTGCTCCAAACAAGTTGTAATATCAAGTTCAAATGATACGTACATTGAGCATATCTTTTGTTCTAATTTTTAGCAGTGAATAAACAGTAAAAATACAGCCACTGCCCTCTATGCCAATAAATAAAACTAACAAAATAGCGAAATAGGAAAAGAAACATGCGATGTGAATAAGGGAATGAATGTAAGCACAAACTTGCAAGCAGACAGCTATGGTGTTATCAAAAACATACTAAAACATTGACATACATTCATGGTGCAGTGTAATGACACTTGACATTTCAGACATTAGTACTGTGATGTACACTCTATTTAAAGTTAAACCAAAGATAAATGATATGTTTTATATATTTTTCCAGGTAAGAGATGTCACTTTTTTTTAAAGTAATTTGTTCAATTTGGAACCAGTTCTTATAAGATATACTCAAGCCACAACATGTTTGAGCTGATTCAGTCAGAAACCTCTTCAAATTAAAGCAGTGAATCATACCTAACTTAATTAAGAATAGAATCATAAGCTAAGGAGAAATCAAGCCTGGACAAAGCAATAAAATAGCGTGGTTTGCATAGAGTGCTATGATGGAACTAGTGTTGATTAAAGATCTGTCTTGCTTCCTCCCGCTAGTTACAGCAGGTCTTAGACATCCTAGAGCTCTTATGCAGTCTCTCCTGACGACTGTGTTAAGGTATGAGGTGAGGTTTGTTCGTTTTCAAGTACAATAAAGGGCAGGGCTATTTTTTTTATCTCCATGCAAGTGTGAAACACCGAGATGTCTTACAGTACAATGACCAATGTCATCAAAGGAATGGCAGTAATATAAAAAGCAGTGGAAATGATAGAATCCCACCAGATGGGTCTTACTGTAATTTTAGGAGCTGGAAAAATTGTCTAGTTGGAGTAATATATAATTTTTCAACAAATTGTTAGCTCTCTTGTCAGCTGTGCTGCGTTTGAAATGGCTTTGGGGTGTAGCACATAAAAGCAACAGAGATTTATCTACCAGTTGCCCTCTGTTTGAACCTCAAAAGCTTCTATTTGTTAAATATAATTGTCATCAATAACAAAAATTTAATCTAGGAATATAAAATCTTTATATCATGCTACCACCTTGCCCTTTTTGTACTCTACTCTGACAGGAAACAAAAGCACAGCATCTCTGCTAGTCACATAGAATCTACTTCATGCTAAATCACTAATGGGTAGATTTGAGTCAGTCTTTTTCATTTAGTCAGTCTTGGTTATAAGAATACTTTAAAGAAAGTTGTGTGTTTTGTAAATGTTCATGTATATGTAAGTAACTTAAGTAACGGTGACCAGCTGTACTGAGTAGAGACTGTGCAGTCTGGCTATGTCGCTGGTCCAAAGGGACCAGAATCCTGAGGTTTACGTAGACGGAGCGGGAAGATGCCTAGTCAAGGTGTTCAGCTTATACTTGTTCAGGAGGTTCTCTAATGAAGTCATTCAGTGCTCAGCTGGAATGTTAAATAAAAACATAGAAGGCCTTACAGCATTCTAGAGAACATAGAAAATGAAGTCCTTTACCATGTTTTCCTCACATGCTTATCAGTAACTAGTTTACCTCAATGTCTTATCTACCCAATTCTCAAAATGCTGCAACATCGGCTAGGCAAATGTGTTACAGATGTGTTACAAATGTGTTTCTTTCTAAGTGAAGAAGGGCTGGCTATGTTCAGTCCTAAAGTCCTTTTCTAAATTTTGCTGTGTGGCCTGTTTATCATAAATCAGATGCAGGGAATTGATATAGCTTCAGCATGACTTCTTTTTGTGCTCAGTGCAGTTTGCGTCGTGTATTTTTCTCTGTAGATACGATGAGACCCTGGTGGTGCCCATCATCGAGAACACCCCCGAGGAGTGTGACCTGAAGGAGCGGATGGCCCGTGCCATGGAGGGGTACCCGGACTCCTGTGCGGTTTTGGTTCGCAGACACGGGGTGTACGTCTGGGGGGAGACCTGGGAAAAAGCCAAGACCATGTGAGTGCCTCTCCTTACCATCTCACGTCTGCACGCTCCTCTAATCTCAAGAGGGCTAAATTTTATATGTTCTTTTAGTTAATTCTCAGTTTCAGAATTCTGTTCTTAATGAATACAGAAGGTCCCTTGATCGTTCCAGAGGTTTTCTTTAGACGTGTTTGATAATCAAGGTCACATGTCATTCTTACGATTGGTCACACGGGACAGTAAGGACAAGTAAGAAATGGAAGCATACTGTAAATCTGCAGTCACTGTGCAGCAACCATGAGCAATGATGTTCCCGTGTGCTAAGCAGAATTATATCGCATTAATTACTTCACATAATCGGATGGAGATCAGAGTTAACAGGGGAGCCTAGGAGCAGCAGACAGATGTGCGGGTAACCATCTCCATTTCACTACAGCCACAAAATATTCAGAAGGTTGAAGTGAAACAGTCAGCTTCATAGTTAAATAATTAGACCAATTCGTAATCTGAAATCTGTATTAGGTGAGATTCAGCTTTAGAAAATTAACTTGTTTGAAAAGGTGGTGAGTTGATTGAGATGCAGAACTATTTCAAGCCCAGGGGTCCAGTGAGCTCTAACAGCACTCCAGGGTCCTGTTCCCGGGTGAGTCGCACAAGCCTTTCTTTCTTGATTGGGCTTATCACCACCTCTGGTCCACAAGACATTGACTCAGTGTATTTAAAATAAGTGTGCAGACCAGTTTCCCAGGTGAATGTGTTCAGAGCGCTTTGTTCACTCTAGGTGTTACAGAACACTAAGAATATCTTGTTTATAAATCTAGTAACTAACCAATTACTGGCTACACTGAAAGCTGCTCATTATATATGGACTATGGAGTACTAAGGAAAAAAACAGGGCGCTTGAACAAAATCAAACATTTCATTTTCATTTTGACCTATTAAATGAAGACAATTTTGGCATAGTTTAATGTGTTTGCATTGACTTAGTCATTTACCTGTTGACATTTACTATTATTCAAAGGTTTGCCATACAAACACTTGTGAGACAGAATGCGTCACACTCCTTGTTAATATTCACATCTCTGGCTCTCCTCCAGGTGTGAGTGCTACGACTACCTCTTCGATATTGCTGTGCAGATGAAACAGTGTGGCCTGAACCCTTCTCAGCTCCCCATTGAAGAGAAAGGAATCCTGTAAACTTTATAGTCACATGTGATTGATGGAAAATGTGAATGTTTGGTGAAAGGCACCAGTCCCCAAAAGACATGGTCTCACTTTGCTTAAGCTTCTCTCTGGACAGAGAAGATTGATGGGAGCTGTGGACAGCCCCAGTGAACAGGCACTGGATGAAATGATTATTCTAATTTTGGAGTAGTTTTCTGGGCCCAGTGAAGGAAAGGAATCATTCATACGCATGCAGACTTCTGCCAGGTTTTGTCTGTTTTTCTATTTAAATAGTAGCTCTCGCTTTGTTGTACTATTGGAGAAACAGAGTGTTTCCCTGACCTGGAGTATTTCTCCATCTTTTGAGTCAGTCTAACTGAACTCTTCATCAGTTAAGCTTATTGAACACTTAATTGATTCATTTTTAACCAGTTTCTGCACAAAGGATCTTCTTTATAATTGATTTTCCTCTGTTGTTTTCTAAACAGTTCTTATGGTCTGTCACTCAAGTAATGATGAGCAGAGATGGGAATAAGTGTTCTTGGTGCTGCATGTCCCCATTAGTTAAATAAAGACAAGTCAAAGAAGCAAAGCTAAATAAGTGGACAGCTAAAACGTTTGTTTCTAACCATCTACTATGTAGGAACTGAGAGTTCAATTTCGAGCTTAATAAGCCAAAACCACAATGTAAATCCATTCATCTATTTTCTGACCACTATATTAAATACGGGGTCACAGGGGAGCCGTTGCCTATCCTGACAAGCAAAGGGTACAAAGCAGTATCCATGCTGCACGGGATGCTAGTTTATCACAATGGAAGCGCACGCACGCACGCACACACACACACACACACCAAACCAGTACTTGGTTTCCAGAAGCCAGAAAACAGAGGAACCAATGAAAACCCAAGAGCCTGGAGGAAACCCGCTGGACCACGAGCGGGACATACAAACCCCATGCAGAAAGCACCCCAGGAGCTGAACCCAGGGCCCCAGCACTGCAAGGCAACATTGCTCACCACTGTGCCTCTGTACTGCCTTCCCAGTGTTCAGCACGAATGAAACAGAAACACAGGGATATCCCAGGAGCGGGAAACACCAGAATAGCTTAGAGCTGTTCCTGGTGCATACAGTCTGATAACCCTAACATGCTTTTAATTCAAAACTGCTTGGTCTTTACCCTCTGAGCGCATTGTAATCTTATTTAATATTACTTATATAATATTCGCCCCTTGTGGAGTTTCCACATTATTCTGACATCTTGCTATCTTCACACATTTAAAGAAGCCATGATCTGCACAGTCCTACTCTATCTAAACGAGATAAATACAATTCAACATAAGCACCCTATTTGTTAATGCATTACTTAAGTTCAGGTGGAAAGGAGTAGTTTGAAAGGTAACATACAAAACAAAGGTTTGACACTACATAAGAAACAATGGGAAGAGTTCATTAATTTGAAACAAAATTGTAATTCATCAAAACGTGATGTTATGGCCAGCTGGTGAATATAACCGCAGCACACCATATGTTTATAGTTTACGATAGATAACCTTCTTACCCCAAAGTTTTCTCAAAACACTTTGGTTGCTCATTCATGAATCACTCATTCACAATTTCCATTTCAAATATTCCAAAATTCCTCATAATGTGTAGAGAACTAAAACGTAGGTAAACAAATTGTTTCAGTGAGGTAACTGTTTAGAAAATGCTATTCTTAACACTGGTGATAAACAAGTGCACATCTCAAAACAAAAGCATCTCAAACATGATTTGAGATGTTTGTAAAGCAGCACCACAAGAATATAACTGGGGGTTCTTTATTGGGTGTGGGTGTGAATCATCAATCTTTACTGCATGTTTGTTAATGTTAATCAAGAGTCTGGATTAAGTTAAAGGGCTAGAGAGGTAATCACTTGTCACCTCATTATGTATTAGGCATTCTAGCTCTTAGTAAAGGAAACAAAGCCAATCTGTTAAATGTGCCCAAATATAAATGATAATGATAAATCCTAATATCCTGTATATTAGGAAACATTTTAATCTGCAGCTTTAGTTAAATTTATAATCGGCTATTTTACGATGACTCATTTGAAGTGATCATTTTGCTCTGTCAGTGTACCCCAGTTCCAGTGTAACACAGCTGGTCTGGTCTGTGAACCAGGAAGCCAGTGGCATGTGATTTGCATGGCTGAGAGGTGTGTGCAGAGGAGGGGAAACACCGAGCTCAGCCCGGGCACACACACATCCGTGGAGCGCGGTTTATTTCCAGCAAGAACACATTTTGTGATCCAAGTTCCTCATTTTGTTTTCACACTAGTTTTTTGATGTGCAGACATTCTGAACAGATGTGTTATCTCGTTGAATGATTAGAGCTATGCGAAAGGCAGTTCTAGCATGCCCCTCAATTAAAAACTGCGAGCTATGCCTCACACTCTATTACATCTTGTTCTTTGCCATCCTTTTCTGATACAGGAGCACATTTTGTGTGTGTTCATTGATTTGTGATAGCTAAGAGTTCAGAGCCTATATATATATAAAGAATAAGTTGACCTTGAAGAATGCATGTCACTGTGTGAAATATACTGTACATATAAATATATCTGTGCATTTGAAAATGTAATAAACCATTAATTGTAGTTCAGTGTGTTTTTTTATTACAGGATGTAATATACAGTATGTATACTGTTATCTAATTCTGGCGTATTTTGTATTTATTTTCAGTATAGGCAGACAAGCAAAGCAAGTTGACTCTGTCTGTAGACCAAGTCTAGAGTATAGGTCTGGTCTGTGTTCTCTTCTCTCCTGACCTTTATCTGTAACAAAAGGAGCCTATTAGTGCTGAACAGATTACCAAAAAAGACTCCAGTTTAAGATATTTGTTTCAGTTAACCTTGATCATTGTCTTACTTATTACGTTTAATTGTTTAACAGTTTTCCCAAATAGCATGTCCGCTCTAGTTTATAAATCCAGTACTCTATTTGAATGTAGTATTCAAGTCCAGCCGTTCCCCAGTCATGTTGTAATCGGAAGCTGAGCTGTGAAACCATAACAGGGGAAGCTGATGTAACTGCCACACAGAAGGGTTGGGATGATTATTCTTTTAAAGACGAGAAAGGCCTCTGGTTGTACCAAGGGGAGCTCTTCCTTTGTGTGCATGTTGCTGGCATAAGGAAGGTGGGCTTGAGGAGCTGCATTTTGCACTCAAGAATTGAAAGGATATTTCAAGTTTCATCTACTGACAGTAGGTGGCACCATTAAATATTTCCAATGTGAAAAATGAATTATGGGGTATATTGCAAAGTGACAAGTGGTTAAATCATGTTTCATTTATAAAGGTGTGGAGTATTATGAACAATCCATGTTAAACGACGGAAAAGTACATCAGAACAAAAATATGACCCATCACCTGTATTTTGTATAAAGCACTGCAGGTTAACAAATCATGTTCTTGATTATTTGTATTGGGGAGTGGTGAAGACAATGTCATTTTACATTTGATAGAAATGAAAGTTAATTCAAATGACCCCCCCCCACCACCACCACCAACCAAGTAAAGGTTTTAATATACTGCATGGAGAAAATAATCAGAAACTCATTGTAGCTTAATACTGAGCTATTCAATTATCAAGCCCAGCTGCCATTAGCACGTTTATTAGTTAATTAGCAAGACATGGAAACAGAGTAGGTGCTTTATAAAAATCCAATATAAGAGACAAAGGGCGGTATAGGGTTGCAGTGATTAGCTGGCTCTGGGTTCGATTCGGGACCTGAGGTGCTGTCCGAGTGGAGTTTGTATGTTCTCCCCACGTTGGCATGGGTTTCCTCCTGGTGCCCATTTCCTCCCACAGCCCAAAGACATACTGGTATGGTTAATTGGCTTCTCAAAAAATTGACCCTGGTGTGAGTGTGCTTCTCTGTGTTTCTCTGTGTGTGCCTGTGACGGACTGTTCTGTTCAGGGTGTATCCTGCCTTGCGCCATTTTTGCATGCTGGGATAGACTCCGGCACCCCCAAGGCCGTGTATTGGATAAAACAGTAAGAAAATGAATGGATGGCCAAGAGACCAAACTACCAGGCTTGACATCATTGCTCTCCTGAGGTGATGTAGCACATTAGGTAACATAATGCTCCATATACTGTGTAACAAGATGTTGGCGTCTTCTCACATTCAAAGGATTCTACTGTTTTTGTCTATCTGACCTCTTAAGTCAATTAAATATTATTCCCTGCTATAATGAGAGAATGTGCTAATGTAATGTAGAAAATGACTAAATGTGACTTAAACAGCTTTGAGATCTTTTGTAAGTATAACTGCTTTGCAGAGTGCTCACACTCGCTCTTTAAAACATGACCTAAAAAAACTCTTGCTACATATTGTGATTAATATTAAGGATAATTTATAAACAAGAGGTTTACTGTAGAAATGTATGCAAAATCTTCTAGTTTTAAAATATAAAACTGGGTTATCATGTACAGCAAATAATTTGCTATAATAATAAACACATTAAAAAGTGTTTTCTGTGATGGCTATTCAAATTATGATGGACCAGAACACACCAAAACAACATGTAGTTTTATTTGCTTTGCAACTCTGTGGTACAAAGACTTTTTCTCCGATTGCTGTTTTCCCCCTGTATAAATAAGTCCCAAATGCTGTGTATTTTAACATCTCTTTCTGGGATGGGATACAAAGCACTTTTTTTTCATTTGTTTTGTAGACTAGTCAGATGACGCAACTGGAATGGAACAGTATTTAATTTCTGTGAAATTAATATAAAGTAAAAGGAGGTTATATGAGTGGTAAATCGATCTCCTAGGGTTTGGAACATAATATATATATATTTTTTTTTTAAATAGTGTGTCTCAAAAGAAAAAAACGTGCTTGATATGTGAAGATAGGAAATTTAACTTGACATGCTACCCTGCCTACAGGTCACTCATGGTGCTGGGTACACGAGCTGTTCTGTGGCTGAAGCGCGGACTCTCGTGACCCCACCAGTATAGCCAGACTGGCCAGACATAACAAAATTCCAGGAAGAATTTTGAAGAGGTGGGTCTCCTTCTGGCACTTGAATTTTGACAGAGAAGCGGAGATCGTAGATCTACCGCACTTAAGCATTTTTATTTTCAGACCTAGAATTTTAACTTCATGTTGAGGTATATACCTTCACTTCTTTTACAATAAAGTTTTCACAGTATTTTGATTTTTAGGTGGAGTAGCACTTTATTTTGGCATAAGCTAATTGTTTTAGAATTATTCATAAATAAAGCTGGCAAACCCTAATTTCCAGCAATCTAGAGTACAAACAAAAAGGGTCTTGCCGGAAAGTGTTTCATATAACCTTTTAAACATTGGTGTCTTTAAATTGATATGTTTAGACTTCAGTGTACTAGTTTCTGCATTATGTCCATGATTTAAACAATACTGCACTCTATACTTCATGTGTTGTTTAGCACACAAGTTTTACTAAAGAGCCAAAGCAAAACTCAGTAACGGCTCAAATCCATGATTGCATCCATATATATATTTAAAAAACAAAAAATGTCAAATCTGTTGAGTCAATGTCTGAAACTATATATCCTGTGTACTGTACCTTTGAGCCCCCGATAAAATGAGAGCAATTAAAGAAACATCTCATTCAGTATCTCTTGTGTGAACAATGGCTTTTCTAAAGCAGCACTGGATGACAGAAAAGCTTGCCAAAAGTTATCTTCATGTTCACGTTTATCTGAAATTGCTTCCCTAAGTGACAACGGTTTGTTTTGGGAGATTTTCTTAAAGAATGAAATCATATCGGCTGCTCAGAGGAAGTAAAGGGATCATTCAAATCAGTGAATTAGGTTTTGACTGTCAAATAGGATGGGTGATAAAGAAAAAGAATGAGATCTATCACTATTGCCAGCTTTTTCAATGTTACACATTATTTAACTAACCAAATCACTTCACTCCGAGGCTCTGATAAATTAACACTGCTCTCCATATCTTTGATCAAATCTCAACAAGCACTGTAATTACAGAGCAATTTTTACTATCATATTACACCAAAAATAGTGACTGATTTGTAGATTGTTATATATATATATTTGTATATTGTCTTTTTCTTCTATAGTAAATTTTCTCCCTTGATATTATAAGAGTGTATTTTACATGAGCACGATTTTAAATGTATTTGTCAATTTTGTTCATGGAAAAAAAATCAAAATGGCCTATTATTTGATTTTTGAAATTCACCTAAAAAATACATTTGAATATTTTGAGGCTTCAGGATCAAGATATACTGTACTGTAAATTATGTAAAAATCCAAACAGTTCATTTCAGTTGTGTGTTGTGTGTCATATGCACAGTAAGTTCGTCTTCGGTATTACCCCTTCTCTTAATTTGTAAACTGTTTTTAAGTGACCAGTTTCTCAGGAATTTAATTTTCTGAATTTTCTCATTTTGTTTTCTTAAGTAAGAGATTGTGAATTTGCAGTTTGCAAGTCTTGAGACCTCTACATGACGTTTCAGAAGGTATTCAGTCCTTCTATGAAGCATCTGGTGGGAGAGTTAATTATTCCTTCTTCAGAATAAACATTGAAACCCAAGTGGAAACAGGCTACCCAAGATTTTTTTTTAACGTGACTCCATCATTTCTCTGATTTAGAGACTGTTCAGTTTTGGTAGGATATGTTGGGATGCAAGGAGTCACAACACAGTTCAGTAAAGGTTCGTGATGAGTTTAATTGTGATGAAAATGGCCATTCCAGAGAACACTGAAGGAGATAAACACAAGGTGTATTTCTCATAGTGCCCCGAATTGCAACAGTGTTACAGAAGGTTTTATAGTCTGGGTCCAGCCATGGTCCAGGAATGGAGGTTTATGGGTTACCATCCTACTTATGACCCAGTGGCTACTCCTGGTTATTTTATCCAGCCTTTCAACTATTTCTGAGACATCATATACAACAACAGGTGTCTGTTTAAAATTCACTCAAGCCAGGAGTAATGATCCCAAGCCAGAGTCAGATTTCTACAGATATATGAGGACAGACAAGGCACAACATTCTCCAGCTGATTATGCTGTAGGGAAAGAAACAACATAACTGATTCTATTAAAATTAAAGTCTGGTCAAGTAAAGCTATGTTTAAGACCTTCATTAGCTATTACCACCTCATAGTCAACCAATTTTAAAACAACCTACAGTATATTGACATTTGAATTCATATTCAAATTATTCATTCACATGTCAACTAATATTTAAATCTGCTATATATGACCATAGAGTAACATTTCTAGTGAGCATTTTCCTAGGGGACAAAAACAATAATCTAAAATCTTGTGTGTTCAAAGTTAAATACTTTAGAACAAAAATAATGCATCTCTATAGACAGTGGACATATAAAACATACCGTTCACTAATAGCTACAGCTTAAACATTTTTTTTTACACTTAATAATCAAATGAACATTGTTGGAGATGTATTTATGATATATTTCCAGTAAGTCCCCTGCTTTATAATCAACTACAAGATCTGTTTTTAAATAGTTTTATATGTAAACTGAAACTTCATTAATGAAAATGTTTATTGTTAGATCTTGATGAAGATTTCTACTGAATTGTACATTTGGTGAGCGGGAAGTGCTGTCTTCCACAA